GAACCTTCACAGACATTTTGCAGATGACATTGTTACCTGTAGTGAGAGGAGGGAGCAGGTGGAAGAGAGGTGGAGGTGAAAGAAGAATGAAAGTTAGAAGCAAGACAAAACACATGTGAGAGAGGTGACAGGGAGACAGGTGTAACACTGAAGGCAGGCAAGTTTATATACATGGCCAATGCAATGACAGAGAGTGCAGGCAGTGTGGGGTTGGTGGAGACACCTGTCAGCGGTGATTTGTGACAGAAAGGGAAGGTGACAAGATGTACTTAACACATTGCTTCAGGCAGACCAACTGTGGTGACCTCTAAAGGGAGCAGGTGAAAGAGGAAGAAGTAGACACTGTCCCAGAATTATGGGAACACCTAAATCACACAACATATTTTTGCAAGCTATTATATAGAGCTTTCTTATTGAACTTATGCAAAGGTTTCATGTCTGAGGCAGCTGGATTGGTCGACTTTCCGAGTGCAGTCCATGTATGGACTGCATGTATAGTCCAACATATGAAAAAAGGGGTAAACTTCTGACTTGACCTTCCCATTTTCCAGAATACACACGGCTTAGGAAAGCGCTCGCTTAATGGAATTTACTGAACATACTGTTTTATAATGCCAAGGTGTATCTCATTGGGTGATTTTAGCTTGTACTCTATGGTCAGCGCAGTTTAATTTTTAATATATATCGAGTGGCACTTAAAAGCTCTCCATTTATACACCTAGCATACATTAAATTTAACTTGGTGTTGAAAATCAGACTCACTCCATTTTTCCTCGACTCCATTTGCTCTCTTCTCGCTTGTTAATTCTCCCAGCCTGTATAGACCAAGACCATTAAAATGCCAACGGAAAGCCAGAGAAGAAGCTGCGTAGGTTGTACCAACCAGTGCCAGAACTAGCCATGTGCTTGCTAGCTAATTAAGTTCATCCCTGAGCCCCTGAAAGACCCAGTCAGGTGTAATTAAAACTGAGCCTGTGACAGCCATGGCATTTGTCAGAGCCAACCAGCAGTTCAAATACCCATACCGACTGAAATGTCAAGCAGATAGCAGTGGCTCATCTCCTCCTCGACACCCCCTCCCCCTCTCACCCACACCCACACACACACAAAGTTATTGCCTCTGTTATAAATGTTTGCCGATAACCTTTAGGATTCCCTGAACAGCAAAAACTACAAATTCTCCCTCATTATTCAGCCAGGAAGCCCCATATTTATTGATGTACAGATCCACTTGACACATGATGGTGCTTTGTACTTTACAGTGCTCCCTCTCCCTGATAATCTCAGAGGCAAGAAACAACTGCTAATTGGCTCCGATCACGCATCTCTACATGTCTCTTTGGAAATTGATGGCAACTTTGATCTTTAGTATCATAACTGTTATGCTGTAGGAAGTTGCCCCTGTCACATCAGATGCAGCTGCATGCTTATGGATGCTGTGGATAGACTACTAAAGTGCTGAGCCAGCTGTTATGATGCTTAAATGATTTAATCAAGGCAATAGTGCATCAGCTGCTAGTTCCTTTATAGAGGACAAAATCACTTTGTGTATCAGGATATTCTTAAAAACGACTCTAGGACAGCTCTCCATCTTTTTTTATGTCATAACATAAGATGAAGCATGCTGAACCAGCTGACTGCTCTATGAAACACAGTGGTGCTTTGTGCTAATGTTTATCATGGTCACAGGTTTATGCATGCTAACATATGAAGGCTGCTGGTTTGCACCTATGTTCAAATGCTAGCATCTCCCATCTCTGACATGACTGCTTTTGCACATGATTCCTTAAAATCTAAACAAAAACTTGACAAAACTAATATTTAGAACACCAGTTTATTCAGATTCACATGTGGCAGCTACTGGGTGGTTTTTACAGGCTGAACAGCAGCGGGAATCAAGATCTGCACATTTATTGTCTGTGAGAGTAACACATGGCACGATCACAGGGAACCAAACTCTCCAGACCCTAAGAACAAAAGTTTTCCAGCTTTTTTTTTTTTTTTGTGGCAAAGTACGTATTAGAGTAGTTGCAGTAAGGAAAGCCGGAATTAAAGTTAACAACCAAAAAACAATTTTCAGTAAATACTTCATCCTGTAGTTTTAATATAATTAATATAATCATTAAAGTGTCTCTTGTGAGGAAAAGTGATTTTTTTTTTTTTACACATATTTTTAGGCTGTTTACTCAAATAGGTCATACTAAGTCAAAGCCAAATTTATTTAAACAGCACATTTAAAACAACGACTGTTAAACAAGGTGCTGTACATTTAAGATAACCTTAAGAGATAAAAACATAGGAAGACATGATAAAATTTTAAGAAAAAGAAGCATAAAATGAGAAGATTTGAGTAAGAAATAAGACAAAACAAGTAATACAAACTCATTCTGAGCCAAAAGCCAAAAATGGGTTTTCAGATGGGTTTTG